AATTGACTTTTTGGAACAAAAAAATTCCAGGGGGGGGCAAAAAAAATTTTTTCGCGCTTCGCGCGAAATCTTGCCCCCCCCTGACTAAAATCCTGTGTACGCGCCTGAATCTTATCAAGATATACTGTTGTATATCATAAAAGTAAGATAGGGACAAATATTTTGAACTCATTACCAATGATATTTCGAGAATACGGGATTATAATTTATTAACTTAAATATACAAACGAATACTATACGATCATATAGCAATTGAAGTAAGAATCAAAGTAGAATTAACACAGCTATATTCCACTCCCACTGCTCTCCGAAAGGGTTGATGATCAACTTCGCTGCCAATCTTATCAAAATATACGTTAGAACGATTGAACAGAACTTAAACTAAACTTGAACATATTTGCGTTGTTTTCTTAATAATTAAATTGCGTAAAATTGACAAAAAAAAATTAAAGAAATATAAGTTTATACTATTAGGTCAAGAAAATTTTTTTTAACTGATTTGCCAGCTATTTATCCGACTTCTTGTCATTCAAATTTTAGCTTCATTAAACACATTCTTCCTTACGCTTAAAAATTATTAGTTAGAATTTAAATATTTTTAACCCTCTTCCCTCGTCAGCTCAGGTCTAGCATGTAAAGTCACCTTTTTTCGTTTTATCAATTTTGTACATGACCACTTTTTCAACAATTTTCAACAAAATTAGTATATATTTAGGGTTAGGTTAGATTTCTGGGCCTAGAGCTGCAGCAAGGACAGGGTAAGGGGCCGAGCGCTGCGACTAGAACAGGCTAGTGGGCCGAGCGCCACGAATAGAACATGTTAGGGGGCGGGCACTGTGGCCACATGGTTAATTATATCCATATAAGATCCATGTACAAAATTGATAGGAGGGGGGAGGGCGCGGGGGGGGGTCCAAAAATCGTATATTAGGAAATAACCCTTTCTTGTGTATTTTGACCATTTTCTTGTGTATAACGTGCCCCTTTTTGTGTACTAAGCTCCTCTTTTGTGTATTATGTCCCTTTTCTTGTGTTTTATGCCCCTTTTCTTGTGTTATATGCTTCTTTTGGCGATTTATGCCCTTTTTTATGTATTATGCCTCCATGTGTTTTACTACCCTTTTTTGTGTTTTAACAGTTTTTTTTGTGTTTCTTATTTATTGATTGAAATACCCACCTAGGCTATAGAGCGCTCCCCATCCCTTTTGTGTGGCATCCCCCCCATTCTTCCTTAGTTGATATCCCCCTCCCACCAGCTCTATAAATTTCAAATCCCCCCCCCCCACTGGCCCTCCCCCGGTTGTGGTGTGAAATCTAATCCAATTTCTCGGAAAAATTTCAATATTTTTCCCACGTTTGATCAAAATTAAAAGGAATCTATTTAAAAGCTGACAATAATAATAAATTGAATTGAAACCTACCCAGGGTACAATGACTTTGGAACAAAGAATTCTCGGGGAGAGAGGGGGGACGCCCCCCTTCATCCAGGAAAAACTTTTTCTATGGGTAATCCTCTTAGATAGTGTTGGAACACTGATAAAGAATGAAGTAAGTTAGGATGTTGGTTATGATTTACGATCAAGGGGGTGAAACTAGAGACAGTCATTGGCGTATGTAGAGGGAAGGGGAGGGGGAATTAGAAACTGGTTCTCAGGGGGGATTCAGGGTCGCTCCCCTCCCCCCTTCGTAGAAAAATGTTAAAACCCTCTAACTAAATACGCCCCTAGATATAGTTTTCATTTTATAGCCCGTTTTCTCTCTCCCCTTCCCCGCCCTAACTTTCTGCTCCTTTCCATTATTTGCATATATTTCATCACTTTTCTCCAAGGAGTATGAAATAGAAGGGAGATATAACTGACGCGGTTCGCCCTACCATATATTATACATGTTTTGCAGACGGTACTTAATTTGAATAAGAAATATTTGTCTGTTGTACATTTACTGCGTATAGAATAACCTATTCTGAATATTTCATATACAAATGGAGTACCTGTCTGTAAAGCTTGTATAATCCAAGGATGTAATGCAAGGATAGTTATTTCAGAATTGTACACATATTTTGTACTGCAGTGTACTGTCTCTGGGCGCTAATGTAAACACAAGACGGATGTCGAAGCCTGACATGGGATCCATCTTCCACATAAATAATCAATGAAATGTTCTGGTCATAGGAAACTATTATGTCAATTATCAAAATTATCAAAATTTAATGCTTTTAACCTCCTCGGATACTAAACGAACACTGATGCATCTATTCTTGTTTACAAATTCCGCCCAGAGAGAACTGGTTTCAATATGTATAACGCAGAGTATAAGCAACTACAATTAACTTTCCTTGCATTACATTCTTGGTATAATCATATGGTAGGGCGAACCGCGTCAGTTATATCTCCCTTCAATTCCTTAAAGGGACTGTTAAGGTAATTTCAAGTGATCCCGTATTCTAGGAATTGTATTCTCGATGATGAGGATATCATCGTTTTTCTTTCTTAATATGTTTTCAATTCTGCCATTTTCATTTCCTGTTTTTGCTGCAGAAATCCATCAGTCACCCCTGAAGATTTAAGTGAGGGGATGGGGGCAAGATTTATTAGGAACAAAAAAATTCATAATTAGGAACAAAAAATCGCGCCGCAGGAGAAAATTTTGTTTGACTTAAAAGACTCAAAAAGAGTAAAAAACTTTTCACACATTATAGTTTAAGACAGATATTTTTACTGTTTTGCACTAGGGTTTCTTTCCCTTAACCATGCTACTGAGAAGCTATTTTGAAAAAAAGGAACAAAAAATCCAAATTCAGGGGGGGCGAATGTCCCACCGCCCCCCTCTGTATCCGCCCCTGCCTGAAGAGAAAACCAAAGTTGAAAGAGGTTGAAAGCGGGCAGGCTTTAAACATTTTTATTGGAGTTTCTTGAATTTTTCGTCTGCAGTTCTTTTAACCTTTCCATTCCCTTCCTCTTTCCCCTGTCCAATTTTATCCTTCTCTTCAAATTACATTTTTTCCTTCTCTTCCTTCCTCCAACCGTATTCTATTCTTCTATCACGTTTTCCAGCAATTAATCCCTGCCTCCTTCTCCTCCTTCCTCCAACCGTATTCTATTCTTCTATCACGTTCTCTAGCAACTAATCCCTTCCTCCTTCTCCTCCTACCTCCAACCTTATCCTATTCTTCTATCAGGTTCTCTAGTAACTAATCCCTTCCTCCTTCCTCCAACCTTATCCTATTCTTCTATCACGTTCTCTAGCAACTAATCCCTGCCTCCTTCTCCTTCCTCCAACCTTATCCTATTCTTCTATCACGTTCTCTAGCAACTAATCCCTGCCTCCTTCTCCTCCTTCCTCCAACCTTTTCCTATTCTTCTATCACGTTCTCTAGCAACAAATTCCTGCTTCCTTCTCCTTCCTCCAACCTTATCCTATTCTTCTATCACGTTCTCTAGCAACTAATTCCTGCTTCCTTCTCCTTCCTCCAGCCTTATTCTATTCTTCTATCACGTTCTCTAGCAACTAATCCCTTCTCAATTCTTTATCTCTTCCTCTAAATATTCATTTATTTTAGTCAACTCATCATATTACCGCCACTAACAACATGCATCCGTTCATAACTTTCACCTCCCCCCTTGTTTATACATTTTTAAAGAGTCTGTAGCCGTTATTTCAAGTGACCCTTTCTTGTCCCCTCAGAATATTTGATCTAANCCCCTTTTCCCCTGGGTCCCTCCCCCCCCCGTTGTAGAGCTTCTAAGCTAACGTGACAGCGTATTTATGTATGAATGATGCGTCAATATTTTCTTTTTCCAGATCACCTGGGAACAGAAGCAGCTTGGATAAAGCAGCTTGAGTTTGGTAGAGCAGCTTGGACAGAGCAGCTGTGAGCCGGTGCGGGGCTTGGTTCTCTCTCTCTCACACTGGGTTGTGTTGTGTGTAGTTAGTGTGTTTAGTAGTGATTGTATAGTGAAGTGGGAATACTCTATCCTTCTCTTACAATATCACACACACCCCTCACAAAACAGCAACGGTTAGCTAACAAGTGATTATATATCATCCAGAAAGTGATTTTTAAGTGTTAAATTCGTTGGTGATGTAAGAGTGGAAGTGTATATTTGTCAATAAATATTGAGAGTTAACTGTATATACAAGAAACCTGTTAAGAATGGTTGAATTGCGAGCAAGTAAACTGGTTTTTACCTGCCTCTAGACCTATATACACAGGTATATATATATATATTATATATTATATATTTACCAATACCCATAATGCAAAGCTTTAATAACAAAACTAAATTTGATCAAAACTAGGTTTTTAGAACCATTCTGCATTCGTGTCTATTTTTTAAGAATATCAATTTTTCGTAGATTTTTCTAGGTTTATTCGTGGATTTACAAGATTCATTTTTTATTTTGAGGCGCCGTAATGAAGCTTAACTTTGGTCATATGAAGTCCCCCAAAAATGTGGGCCTGATCAGTTTAGCCGTTTTGACGTTTTTTTTGTTAAACAAAAACTTAAGTTTTTATTATTTAATTATCATTAAAATATTTTATCGTTATTGTTACTTTTAAAATTAAATCTGCAAAAAAATTTAGAGTCAAGATATTTTTATTTATTTCAAGTGCCCCTTTATATTCATAGATTGCCATGTCTGATACACAACGGTACCCTTGAAAGCTTTGTCTGATCAAGTATGAATTTTATGTTAATGTTTATAATTTTGAAAATTAAATATTTTTTATGATGTTACCTCTACAAAAATGTCTTGCGCATTTCTACTGTAGGAAAACACATAAGTCTCCTCATCATTGAACATTTTTAAACCTAGAAAAGTGACAGTAAAATCCATATTATTTACGAGATAAAGATTGAAATTACGCGTACAGTCCCTTTAAACATATAATAATGTTACGGACTCTTAAATACCGAATAATATCTCATGCTTGCTTACAATCATTTCATAAACCTTGGGGTGAAACTTAATGAATTAATTTAAACTATATTTGATCCGCACGGATTGATTTTGGACAATATTTATTATTTATGTGTATCTATTTCTTAGAATTTTATTTATTTATTTATTATCTTGAATTAAAAAAGCGACTGAAAGAGGTTTATTTTCTAATATGATATTAATGTAATTTTTTTCTGATCAAATTAAGAAAATTGAGTTTGACATTTATTAATTATCTGTCAAAACCACACAGGGCCCTTTCATATACCGGACTAGGACTAGGACCAGAACCAATACTAGGACTAGAATATTAGGATTAGGACTAGGACTAGGACCAGGACCAATACTAGGACTAGATTACTAGAATATCAGAACTAGGGCTAGGACTAGGACTTGGACTAGGTCTAGGACCAGTACCAATACTAGGACTAGATTACTGGAATATCAGGACTAGGACTAGGACCAGGACCAATACTGGGACTAGATTACTAGAATATTAGGACTAGGACTAGGACCAGTACCAATACTAGGACTAGATTACTAGAATATCAGGACTAGGACCAGGACCAATACTAGGACTAGATTACTAGAATATCAGGACTAGGACTAGGACCAATACTAAGACTAGATTACTAGAATATCAGGACTAGGACTAGGACTAGGACTAGATTACTAGAATATCAGGACTAGGACTAGGACCAATACTAGGACTAGATATCTAGAATATCAGGACTAGGACTAGGACTAACTAAGAATAGAGGACTAGTTCCTAGACCTGGACCAGTACCAGGACTTAGACTAGGACTAGGACTGAAGTACTGCAAGTACTTTGACAAGGACCAGGAATATGAATATCTAGCTAGATACGATATATTCTGATACAAAAACATTAGTCAGGAGTGAAATCTGAGATCACTGAATCAAAACTGTTTCTTTTACCAATATTATTGCAAGGGTATCATTCTCTTACAAATATAACATATTCCTACGTAATACTTAATATTTTTTATTACATTTTCAACTCTATATTTCTACCAATATTTTTGTAAGGATACCATTTTCTGTAAGCAAAACATTTTATGATTTTCCTCTATTAATACTATAAATAATAAAAAAATATTTTCCACCCCATACTAGGATATTTTTTTAAAGATAGTTTTAACCCTTTGTTTTACCAATATTATTGCAAGTTTTTTTCTTCAATTTATACCTTTAAACTTTTGCTGATGTCTTAATTTATATAATAAAACAAGACATTCATATATATGTTGCGTATAGCTGGCCAAACGGCTGGACCAAATGGACTGACATTTTTTGTAGACACTAATGGGTGGCCGGGGGATGCGGGTGCTGTAGACTAAAAAATCGAAAATTAGAAGAAAAAATATTCCACGGGCAACGCTGCGCTCTTCAGCTTGTGATAAATAATAAAATCCAAAAATAAATCCAAACCCTATGCTTTTACCAATGTAATACTAAGATATAATTTTCTTGAAACTTTTACTTCCTTTAACATTATTTTTTCTATATTTCAAACCTACATAAATACGTCTAGTATATTATTTTAATTATACAAAATGTTCAATTTTCTTAATGTCGATTTTCATAGCTTGTTTTCTAAATAAATACATGCTAAAATTCTAGGGGGGGGGGGTAAATAACCCCAATAACCCCCCTTATTTACGCCACTGCCGGCCCCCAAGCTATTTCCGCCATTATAATTATAAAATTATTTTTAGTAAAATATTTTCTGTATAACATGAACGGGTTTCTTCATTTTTATTTGACTTGAGTTAAAATTTAAAAATTTTTAATAAAACTGTTACAATCAATATATCTGTCATCGTTCAATAATATATTTGATGTTTTTATCCGACCCCCCTTCCCTCTTTTCTTTTCCCCCCCATCAACCCTTAATTTTTATCTAATATTTGCGCATTTCTATCGGTCGTAAATCGAGTATAAAGCTTTTTGTTATGACTAAGGGGTAGAAAGATCCTTGAAATAAAACAATATTAAAAAATGATAATATCAACGTTTTGCAATGATTTTCTGTCATAATAACGTGCAATTTTTAATCAGTAATTACTTCCTGAATGGGATTAAAGAATATTTAGACTCCTCAGATTTATGGTTTATCAATAAAAAGATGAGGATGTGGTTTTTTTGTAATCTAGGAAGGTTTCAGACATCCTGCCTTCTGTTTTTCACTCATTTCATGCTATTAACATTTTGGATTAGAGAGTTTTCAAGTTATGAGTAATTTAGTTGTTTGAACCTATTTCTATTTTTTTAGCTAATTAAAATGTTATGATATCCTTTTTTAATGTTTGGTCTATGAAATGTTTTCTGAATTGATTACATATTTATCTTGCAAATGGAATCAAACATATAGAATCTTTTACTCCAGACTCTTAAATACCGAATAATATNCCTTTCTTCCTTCCTTTGTTCCTTCCTTTGTTCCTTCCTTTCTTTCTTTCTTCTTTATATAATCCTCTAATAATTATAGTTCTATACACATTCTTTCTATCCTTTCATTTCATAATCCTTCCTTTCTTCCTTTCTTTCTATCTTGTTTATATAATCCTCTAATAATTATAGTTTTATACACATTTTTCTAACCTTTCATTTTATACACCTTTCTTCCTTCCTTCCTTCCTTTCTTTTTATCTTGTTTATATAATCCTCTAATAATTATAGTTCTATACACTTTCTATCCTTTCATTTCATACACCTTCCTTCCTTCCTTTGTTCCTTCCTTTCTTCCTTTCTTTCTTTCTTCTTTATATAATCCTTTAGTAATAAGAGTTCTACACAATACACATTCTATCTATCCTTGCATTTTATACACCTTCCTTCCTTGTTTTCTTTCTTTCATTTATTTTCAAAATGTCTTCATTTCTCGCCATTTTTTACCCGATTTAATTCTCTTTTTTTCATACGTTTCTTCTTCCCTCCACTCCTTTGTTTTCTGACAATATTTCTATTTTTTTATTTACATGGTATCAGTATCCCTGGAACGGAGAAGGGTAGTAAATATCTAAATATTGAGTTTTGAACAATATCCCCCTACCCCTTCTACATTATTGGTTCAAAGGTTGGTTTTTAATACTCCCCATCCCCCCACCTTTCCATCTTTATCCCTCTTACATAACTTTCCCATTGCAAACTTCTTTTTAGAAATATAGATTAATAGAAATCATTTCTATGTTCTTTGTTTGAGTTTAGAAGTGATTTATTAGTCATTTACTAACTTCATTTTAACCCTTCCATTTGCTCTTACATTTGCCTCTTTTGTTAGGACCTGAACAATTCGGTATGGAACTTGAAATGGCCTCAATACCTAAAGGGTACCTAACCATGGAAAGATGACAAAGCCCGATTCACAACGGTACCCTTGAAACCATTATTCGATCAATAATATGTTTAAAAGTGTTTAATTTTGATCATTTCTCTTTGATTTCCTGAAGTGAAAATATAATAGGACTTTTGTAGAGAAACCAAGCAACTGAAAACAATAATTTTTGAATTTGTTAACATAGAAATCTTATTCATACGTGATTAGACAAAGGTTAGTTATATCGATATTGAAATTTGAAAATCATTTTAAGTAATTTATGTTATTTTTTTATTAGTGAATTCCAGGGGCGTATTCAGGAAATTGTCCAGGGGGGGGGGTTTAAAATTTTTCCTTTCCAGGGGGGGGCTCACCAAATGTTATGGCGTGAAAACCCCCTGAAATCAATAGATTTCACTGGTCCAGGGGGGGGGGAGCTTAGCCCCAAAGCCCCCTCTGAATACGCCTCTGGTGAATACTGTTCTTAGAATTTACAGGAGAAATGAAAAAGATTGTACTCTTTCACCCCCCCCCCTCCTCCTGCCCACAGTAACCTATGTACACTAGGACGCCTTGAATGTACGCAATATTGCGGAGTTACAGGATTATAAATTGAAATCATAAATCAATGCAAGCTACTATTGAAATGAAAATATTTCAGAATATATTCAAATTGTCAATATTCATGATAAAACAGGAAACATATGCAGTTGAAAAGGGAAATTGTGACAAAAACCAGTCACCCCCTTCTCACCCCCTGAAATACCCCACTGTGCCCCCCTCTCTGTTCTGGAAAGCAAGTTTACTCTCTGGATGTATGGGTTGAGGTCTGAACTCTAGTTTAATATTCTCAAGTCTAGAGGTTGAATACAGAGACTAAAGGAATATATTAGTCTATAGGGTTACCCTGGGATACTGGGGGAAATTGATAAAATGGGCAAATAAACTTTTAGGATATACATTTTGCCCGGGAAGAGGGTAGGTTTGTTTAGGAGGGGGGGGGGGAGAGGCTTAAATTTTTCGTCTATTTAGGTTCTAACTTCCTGTCTGTAAGTAGATTAGTTTTACTTGAAACTTATTTGAAGAATGAAGAATGAAGAATGATGTCTAATCTTAATTCTTTCCTATTTTGTTGGAACAAAAAACATCTCATTTCTTTAGCTTTAAAGAAACTGTATCCTTATTTCTTTAGCATTAAAGGGACTGTCGTTGTAATTTCATTTGATCCTCCATTTAAAGAGACCTATGTTTGATTCCCAACGGTACCCTTTAAACCTTCATTTCGAACAGGAAGTATGAGTTATAAAAGGCTCAATATATTTGATGCGTGACATAAAATTTTGTTTTTATCATTTGACATCTTATAAAGGGACAGTGGACGTGTTTTTAAGGGACCCTTCATTTTTAAAGTGCCTTTTTCGTTTGATTACGATAAACAGTAAACCTTTTCTGATCAAAAATGTCTGAGGTGTCCTTAATTTTCTTGTTAGCACTGAATTTTTTTTTTAAATCATCTCCCGGCAGTCACGAAAATAAATGTTGTTAATCAATGTTTTTTAAACAGCGTTTGCCATAAAATATTCGGGATTCTAGAAGTTTTGGTTTGGTTTGGTTGGGGTACACGTTGTACACTGGAGTACACTCAATTTTCTTTTAGAATAATAAGGATTGCTCCGTCTTTTTTGAGATAAAGGTACCCTGGGACCGTTGCAAATCTGACATGCTTCATGTATAACAGTTCACTAAAAAACGTCTACTGTCCTTGAAAATTTTGAAAAATTGTATAATTTGCATGACTTGAAATATCAAAAGAAAATTATGAAACATTTAAAATTTAATGCATTTCAAGCTTAATAAAATCTAGTCATTTTAATGAAAAATCGGAGGGTTTGTTTAAGGGTCTGATCACTTTTTTTTTAATGATTCGCTATTGATTATTGATTCAAATATCAGCTAATTTCTTTAAATTATCGGTGGCCAGTAATAATATTTTTTTTTAATTTTAAGTGTCTGTTTATGCTTAATTTCAACTTTCTATTTATAGAGTGGCTTGTCCGATTCACAACAGTATACTTCAAAGCTTTGTCTGATCAAGGATGAATTAGATATCCATCTTTATAATTTTAAAAACGGATTGTTTTCAATATTGGTTTCTCGACCAAAAAGACCAACGCATTTGTGCTGCAGGAAAACCATAGATAAATTATCAGAATTAATTTTTCTCAAGCAAGAAAACTGTACTATCTTCCACATTATTGATCAGATATATGTTCAACCATTTAAACGTACGGTCACTTGAAATTATCCCTACAATCCCTTTAATAGGTACCGGGTAAATTTCGTTAATAACCTCTTTACACATTCCTAAACGCGCGTAAAGGGCGCGTTGCACGGTTGGGTATGCGCTTAATGACTCGACGCTCGCCCCGAGTCTGCTGCTAATTTTTGCAAAGACAGATACATAAAACTTAGAGGCCTGTTAATGAAATCCTAAGTTCTTTTTTTATTAAAGAAAAAGTGTCAAATAATTTAAATGTATCTTTATCACTTTCATCAAGCTTATTTGACTCTTTTATCAAGCTTATTTGACTCTTTTATATTCGTGATTTTTTAAGTTAAGCTTCTAATTAAAGCTTATATTTGGTAGATTTAATGTTTTTATTATGATAAAATGCATTTAAATATTTCATATTTCGTGGAAACCACTGTACCGAAGAGAGACCAAATTAGGACTGCAGATTTCAATAATTAAATTGTCATAAGCAGAAAGAATTTATAACGGCTGGAAGAAAACTAAAAGTATCTAAAAATAAAATAGATTTTTAAAATAAATATTTACAATTTCCGGACTTTAATCTTTTATCACATGGAAAAACAATTTTTTTTAGTCTGGGAAGTAATCATCATCATTGGAGTACTATTGAAGACCCCCAGATTCTCGTTGGAGACCCCCAGATTCTCGTTGGAAAAACCCCTATTTTCATTGGACACCTCCATATTTTCGTGAGAGACCAGATATTTCCGCTGGAGATCCCCAGATTCTCGTCTCTCTAATAAAAATCTGGGGGTCTCCAAAGAGACGTTCATGGGGTCTCCAACGAAACTTCCACGGGGGTCTCCAATGAAAAAGGTTCTCAAATGGCACTCCAATGATGATGATTTCTTCCCCGACTTACTTTTTTTCAACAATTTTTTTGTTCCTTGTGAACGTAAAACCATTTCTTGTTTTTTTCTCTTGTGAGCTGGTAATGATGAATAGTTATATAATGGCAGCGTTTAGTTTTTTACCATGTTGCATGTAGTAAACCGGGGACAAGAAGCGTCGGGAATGCATTAATTTGGTTTCATCAAATCATTATCTCCGTCAGACTCTCAGCAAATCATAACGGGATTTTTAGAAAAAATTTCTATATCATTAATTTGATCTGTGTAGTGGGGTTTACAGAAAAGTTAAATTTCTTTCTAAAGTACATATATATCCTTTTAAAAATAAAAAGTGATTTGATATTTTCTACCTAAAAAGTTTTTTTGGGGGGGAGTGGGTCGGAGGGGAGATCATTTCTTAAGCTTTTTCTTGGGCAATAAGGAATCACTAAGGAATCGAGTCTTTGTATCAAGCTAAAATTTTATATTACTTATATCTTTGCAACCTGTTTATGTAAACCTTTGAAATTTCAAACTTAGATTTTCATATATTTAAGGTCTACGACGTAGGGCGGGAAAAATTTGAAAGATAGGTATCAGAAAATATAGGTATCAGAAAACCAGAGTTTGTGGCAAAGACTCAATTCCTATATATGTATATATGTATATATGTATATATGTATATATGTATATATGTGTATATGTATATATGTATATATATTGATATATTGAGTATTAAATATATAGTATATTGATGATTCTCCAGTTTTAGCATTCTTAATAATATCAGATGATTTACATACAGGGGTGAATATTTTCGTGAAAAATCATTTAATTAGGTTTTTTCAGTTCACCCCTGTTTTCACAAATATGCTTTCAACATTATTTCTATTTTTGTGTATAGTAGAGTTCTGGTATACTTCCTATTATTCAGTGATACTTCCTAGTTTCCTGTTTTCTGTTTATATCATATTTGTGTATAGTAGAGTTCTGGTATACCTCCTATTCTTCAGTGATACTTCCTAGTTTCTTATTTTCTGTTTATACCATAATTGTGTATAGTAGAGTTCTGGTATACTTCCTATTCTTCAGTGTTACTTCCTAGTTTCCTGTTTTCTGTTTATACCATATTTGTGTATAGTAGAGTTCTGTATACTTCCTATTCTTCAGTGTTACTTCCTAGTTTCCTGTTTTCTGTTTATACCATATTTGTGTATAGTAGAGTTCTGTATACTTCCTATTCTTCAGTGTTACTTCCTAGTTTCCTGTTTTCTGTTTATACCATATTTGTGTATAGTAGAGTTCTGTATACTTCCTATTCTTCAGTGTTACTTCCTAGTTTCCTGTTTTCTGTTTATACCATATTTGTGTATAGTAGAGTTCTGTATACTTCCTATTCTNATTCCCCCCCCCCCCCCCATTAGTAAAAGTAATCATAGTTTTAATTTCCAAAGCTAAACTTTTTTGATATTCTTCATTTTCATATTCTTTTCTATTTTATTCTATTCTTTCATATTTAATTTGTGTTTTTTAACATAAATCATGTAAAATTCTATCATTTCAAATCTTTTCTATTCTTTTCTATTCTTTTCTTTTCTATTCTTTTCTATTCTTTTCTATTCTTTTCTATTCTTTTCTATTTTTTTCTATTCTTTTCTATTCTATTCTATTCTTTTCTATTCATTCTTTTCTATTCTTTTCTAGTCTAGTCTATTCTTTTCTATTCTTTTCTATTCTATTCTTTTCTATTCTTTTCTATTCTTTTCTATTCTATTCTTTTCTATTCTTTTCTATTCTATTCTATTCTATTCTTTTCTATTCTATCCGATTCTATTTGAAGATATTTTATTCTAATCTATCCTAAATATTATAAGAATAATGTGTTCTAGGATGGAAGAATAAGATGGATTCCGCCGACTAAACAGATACAGACTAACTTCAAAGGTATTTCCTTTTCTGTATCAAAGAGAACTTTCCAGATTTATTCTTTTAAAGGGACTGTACAGAATTTACCAAGGAAGTGAAAGAGCTGAAAAGAATTAATTAGCAAGGGAATTTATGAATTTTCAATAATGAAAAAAAAATATTAAATTATTTTATGTTGTATCTGCAAATTGACAAATTATTTTTCCCTATTTAGAATCTTTAGAAAAAGTGGAAATTTTTCTAAGGAAAAAAAACTAAAAATCCTTTGTTGATATCATGCATTTGGATTATTTAATATTGACCCTGTAGCTCTGGTTTGTAACAAATTCCCAAAAATATGCGTGTGGGACATTTCAGGATTTGCCACGTAGTTTTATACGAAAAGACAATAATTAGATAATGAAGAGAAAAAAGTTTTTAAATTTTGAAATACAAAAAAGAAAAATTTCTCAGAAGTTTTATTTTCAAATTTTCTTCTTTTGCTGAAACTCTAATTTTAAAGGTTTTAAATATATAAGAATGTACAATATTCGTATATCTGGTGATATTTATTTATATTCCTGTTTTTCCTTCAAGTAATCTTTACGCCTGGAGGCCTGCCTGAAGGAGGGGGGAGAGGTGCTAAAAATTCAAGAAAATATATATTTATTTTGATCATAGTGGTAAACCTAATTAAAGAGATTTAGAAACCTAATACTTTTCACAATTCTAATTTTCTAATCCCTACGTATGAAAATAAATGCTAGATGGAGCACCCGAATAAATGAGTGAAGATAATTTATTACATAGATATTGTAATTTTTCAAACTATTAATTCTGTCCGATCAATTTTTTAAAATACCAAAGGTTTACAGCATCAGGTTTGGAAGATATAGGGATTAGAAAATTGAATTTCTGGCGAGTCTATAATACTATTAAACTTTATGAGGTCTGGAAGATAATGATTAAAACAACGACTAACAGAATGCTCGGTAGATCAATTCTCTCAAAGGGCGAATGGTGTGAATCAATGATGGTGTCAAGAAAACTGATATTTAAAATGTCAATTGTGGGATTTCAAATTCCTTATTTGTCCTGTATCTTGGTAATCCAGGACGTATGATGAGCTCTGTAGTAAGCCAGGAACCAACCCTTGCCTCAATACCGGAGTCTCCTTCGGAGGAAATCCGTCCATCGTGAGTTTTATGCCGGAGCCGGATTTAGTTCAGGGGCCAAATTTAATGAAGTTGCTGAACTGCCTACAGACGGTTCAAATTTGAATCACCGATTTAAATCCTTCTTGAATCTGAAGCTTGGAATCCATGGTTCAAATTTTAGCGACAAAGCTTCAACTCAGTAAATTCGGTCCGAAGAGAGTTAGATTAAGTAAAGCAAGATAAAAAACCTGAAAAAAGACTGTTTTTCTTAAAAGAGGGGCTTTTAGATTCACATTGGTACCCTTTAAAACGTTATTTAATCAATTATTATCGTTTTCTTGCTTGAAAAGTATCACTTCGTAGAAAAACATCGCTTGGAAATAATCAATATTCAAAGAGAAAATGTAACATATCTCATGTATTCATGGTCAGACAAAGCTTTGAAGGGTACAGTTCTGAACTCTAAAAATAAAAACTTGAAATTACGTATTTTCAAATGACCCTCCATGGCAATTTTATACGCAATTTTTTATTTAAATTCTTTTTTCGAAAATAAGAAATTTAAACATAAATTTTCAAAGTGTATTTGTGAGTTAATCTAATCTCTTTGAACCCGAGTCCAAAGCATGATGTTTGTACCTTGCATGTACAAATGTACATAGTCGACTGTACCCGTTCATGTACATTAAGTTATGTGCCTGTAAATTTATCATGTATTGTTGTTGTTTTTTACATTTGTTATCTTTTTTTTGTTGAAACAATTTAACCATGAAAATTGATTCATTGTTAACATCAAACACGATCAAATTTCATTTTAAAAAAAAATAATTGAATTGTTTGTTATTTAAGATATAATTATTATTAGCTAGTAATTGTTGCGTTCTTATTGTTATGCATGGAAAACAAATCCTTGATTATTTTTTATTATCATTATTTCGAACATAATTGAATTTAATTTGTTTTGTGTTTAATACGCATGTTTTATTGGAACTTATGTCAGACATTATATTTTTTTCCTAAATTAGAAAATTATTTGTGGGTATCTTTTTGTCATGATACCGTAGGTTTCTAGGGTGATTTGGCCTCAAAAAATTATATTCAAGTTATTGTAAGTAACTTACTTTTCCAAGAAGGTTCAAATGATGACAAATTTTGTGCCAATTCATTCTGTAATACAGTGGTCCCCATTAAATCAAGCAAAGCAAGTAATTTTACCGGTTACAACTCAGCTTATTTAGTCATTGGACTATTTAAAATCTTTCCTGAAGTTCAAAATTTAGCCGTTGTTTTGCGTAGTTTCTAGAATTTACTCTTCCCCATCTAGTATCTATCTATCTATCTATCTATCTTCCTTCCTTTATAAGTGGTACTCTACCCTATCTATTTATCTATCTAATATCTATTTATCTAACTATCTATCTATCTATATATCTATCTATCTATATATCTATCTATCTATATATCTATCTATCTAAGAGGTATTCTAGCCTATCCATCTATATATCTATCTACCCTTTCTATCCATCTATCTTCTATCTATCTATCTGTCTATCTATCTAGGAGGTACTCTACCCTATCTATTTATCTATCTATCTATCTATCAATCTATCTATAAATCTATCTATCTAGGAGGTACTCTACCCTATCCCGGAGTGGGAAGTCCTCTACGCTGACCCGAGACAGCAAGAAGTTTAACTCTCTTCGAAGAATGCCCAATCCAAATTACAATATGTAAGTTCTTAATTTGAATATTTGAATATTGTTGAAGTGTGTGTGTGGGGGGGGGCGCGTGGGATAAAAATAGACATTGATAGGTAAGTTTATTAAGTGTTCTTAACTCAAAATGCCAAAAATTTCTAAAATATGTATTATATTATATCTAAAATATATTATATTGGAGCAGCCTTATTCTTTTCTCTTTGAAGGGTGTAGAGATCGAATGTAATGAAAGTCGTCTTCATGATCATCAGATTTTATAATCAAATTATAGAAATGTCATAAAAACGTCATGTGAAGTGAGCAAATTCACATTAGTATACGATTGCTCAAAAATTTGCCGTTTTTTACTTGAAATGGGACGTATACATTAACCCTATATCCTGTAGGATACATACATATAACTGCTAGCATGCACTTTGAGCATGGTTTAAGAAATCAGGGACTTTTTCTAAAGGTTCTTAAGTTAGATAATTAGATTTTGTTTTGAGAGCTGTTATAGTCCTTTTAAAATTATTTCGTGTATTTGTTTGTCAGTGGCTTTTTAGATTTCATATTCCGTGTATTTTCAAATCCTCTTCCGGCATTTATCTCACATTTTTTTAGTCCCTTGACAGCCTTTCCCGCGCATTCCCCGTTTTATAAGTCCTTAGATTTCATGATTGTTATATTCCCTGCAGTGCTGAGTCCTTGCTACAGGTTAGGTTGGATAGATAAGTTCGGGAGGAAGTGATAACAATTAATTTCGGGATTTAAGGATCCACCCATGCTGGTGTTTACAGGGTGTCCCAAGAAAAATTAGGGATCCACCCATGCTTTTGTTAACAGGGTGTCTCAAAAAACTTTACCAACCATCTTGGCGTGTACACTACAGAGTGTTCTAGTCAGGCTAGCCCAAAAAGATTTCTAGGGGTCCTACAGTTTACCAAAAAAGCTTATAGATTATAAAAAGTGCTTCTAAAATTATGCAAAAACGATCATGTTTGCAAATTGCACATTTTTCTGGACACTATGTCTGCGTTGTCTTGGTAGAGTGTCAAAAATACAATTTCACGTTTTACTTTTAAACATGTTTTAATTTTTCAAATCGACCTATGCGTAATAAGAGTCGTTCTCATAGGATTAGAAATTAAGCAGTGCAACTGTTATCTTGCAATCTTATTCAAGGGGGATATTTTTCTTTAAAATTTGTCTGTTTAAATTCTGTTTTTATATTACTTGAGAAAATGTTTTTGAAACTAATTTTCCTTTACGCTTTCTGAATCACTTACCATGATGTATACAAATTTAAGAATAAGGTATGAACAGCGCAAATCAAAATCACTTGTACAATTTATAATTTGGTTTTACAAAACTCTACGACGAATAAAGTAAAATATTTGCAATAAGTACAGATAAATACTTTAATGTCATATAAGCATAAAACTAAGCTAATAGTCAATGCATTTTCAGATAAATGTACTTTAGACCTTGTATAGCCCTCCACACATAAATAAATAAACTGCATACCTTCACAAGTAACGGAAAACAAAATAATCACCCCCCCCCCCTAAACATTCGGCTCTATCATTATTTCTTTTATTGACGTAGTTTTTTGAAGTAATGACTAAATTCTTGACAAATCTTGTCTTGTCTTGTCTTGTCTTGTCTTGTCTTGTCTTGTCTTGTCTTGTCTTGTCCTGTCCTGTCCAGTCTGAAAAATGTACGCGTAGCGTTCCTGAATTAATGCAAAAAGTAATTTGAATTGAGTTGAAATAAGTAAATTTTCATTTTGTTTATTTAACATTAATCTTGCATGAGAAAATTATATGCTCCAACAAATAACATGGCTTGAATAAATTGGCTCCCTTCCTTCCCTCACCCTCAACCTCTACCCTCGCTTTTTAAGTTTTCAAGCATTTGACTTTTAAATGCTTGTTGATCTAGGTGTTTCTTACAAAATAATGAATTCTTTTATTGAAATAGATTGAAATTTATAGATTTAGTTTTTGAAATGTAACACACGACTAAAAATCTTTTTCCCCCAGTTTATTTTGTATTACCTTAATTTGATTTGTCCGAATATTCTGGGGGGGGGCCCTATAGAACTTTTTTCAAACACAAAATCTTCAGTTCTAAACGCTCTTCTGTCCCTCCTTTCTTTCAAATTAATTAACCTAATCAGGATTTCCACTTTCTAGTCGAAATTTTTCCTGAAATCTTATTGCAGCCATTTCTTTCAAAAATTACGATTTCGTAGATTTTTCTGGGCTTTTTGAGGGATTTCCAATATTTCTTAAAAATCGATTTTTTTTTGGAGCTAAAATTTGGACCTTTCCTGGCCGGACTCGATTTGTTCAACCGCTTTATCGTTTATTTGAGACATACAAACCATCAAACAAACAACAATTATATATATGTATGTATAAATGTCCATGTTGAAGTATTATCTTTGATTAGTATTCAAGGAGTTATCCTCTCCTGTTTGTATAATATACAGCATCATACAGTCAAATCAACTAATAGCTTTTAATTCATTCATTCATCATTCATTCATTCATTCATTCATCCTTTCATCATTCATCATCCATTCATTCATCATTTATTCATTCGTTCATCCTTTCCTTCATCCATTCATTCATTCATTCATTCATTCATTCATTCATTCATTCACTCATTCATGCTTTCATTCATCATTACATCCTTTCACTTATTCATCCTTTCACTCATTCATCCCTCATTATTTATTCATCCATCGTTCATAATTCATTCATTCGTTCATTCATCCTTTCTCATTCATTCATTCATTTTTTCATCATTCATTCATTCTTCATTTATCATATTTATTAGGTTTTTATTCGTTCATTTATTCATCATTCATGTTGGCATTCATTCATCCTTTTATCTTCCATTCGGTCTAATTTATTTAATTTAAATTTTCCAATCCAACTTAAAAATAATTTAGCTGTATTTGTTTATCAATCTGTTTATAATTGATTTGTCAAGTTTTCTGAAAGTTTTATTTTATTTTCCTGTACAAGTTGAAATCTACTCGACTTTCAATTCTTCAATTGGTTTTAAATTTAGTTCTTTCATATTTTCACATTTTTATTTGAAATCAATTTTTAGATTTTTCATTTAAAATATTTCTTTAATAATATTTCCGGATGGAAGGAAACCAAAAGAAACTGAATTCTACAAATTCCTTTAACTGCACTTTATTACAGAGAAATAATTCTACTCCAAAAACTCAGTTCTGGGAAAAAATGCACGTAAATACAACAAAATGCGTAAATACAACAAAATGTGTAAGTACAACAAATTGCGTAAATACAACAAAATGCGTAAATACAACAAAATGTGTAAATACAACAAAATGCGTAAATACAACAAAATGTGTAAATACAACAAAATGCGTAAATACAAAAAAATGCGTAAATACAACAAAATGCGTAAATACAACAAAATGTGTAAATACAACAAAATGCGTAAATACAACAAAATGCATAAATACAACAAAATGTGTAAATACAACAAAATGCGTAAATACAACAAAATGCGTATATACAACAAAATGCGTAAATACAACAAAATGCGTAAATACAACAAAGTGCGTAAATACAACAAAATGTTTAAATACAACAAAATGTTTAAATTCAACAAAATGCGTAAATGCAACAAAATGTGTAGAGTAGATACAACAAAATGCGTAAATACAACAAAATGCGTAAATACAACAAGATGCGTAAATACAACAAGATGCGTAAATACAACAAGATGCGTAAATACAACAAGATGCGTAAATACAACAAAGTGCGTAAATACAACAAATTGCAATGAGGTCGTACACTTTTTTTTCCCCTGGTCCCTTCCCTTGCCCCCCTAATATTCGAAGTTTTCAAGGTTTTGCAAGAAATTTTTTCTGAATAAAAAAATTTCCCATCTCAATGTTAAAGGGGTAGGCTAGGTCTTCAGAGGCGACACAGGCTGGGACAGGCTAGAGAAATTTGTTGCATTAAAGTCGTACCCTCGCAAAAAATGTGCACTATTTTATGATGTATTGGGAGAAATGAATTAAGTATTTGAAAATACAAAAAAAAATTAATTTATGTTTTTATATATTCTAGGACTGAAACAACCATGAAAAGTCAGGTTTACCACGGCTACGACACAGACGGATACAGTGGGTCCGACGCTATGTACCTGGTGAACTCCAACGGGCACAGTGATGGCGCGTCCCCCAACTCGTCCAGTCAGTTCTCCACAGATGGAAGGGAACTCATCTCAAGGACACAAAAACAACATACTACACAAAATGTAAGATTTTTCTTCACAAAACATTTTTTTGCCCTTAAGAATTATTAAAGATGTACTTCAATGATGGAGTCATTAACATACATTAACATACCAATTAAAACAAGCATATCAAAGTGATTCGATTTGCAATTTGATAAATGGTTTGCCACTAGCGTATAGGACACTAGCTTATAGGACACTAGCATATAGGACACTAGCATATAGGCCACTAGCATATACGACACTAGCATATAGGGCATTAGCATATAGGACACTAGCATATAGGACACTANAAAGTGGGTTGTGGTCTATGTTAAATTTTCTATTTGTCATTGTTGTTTTTTACTTGTTTTGTCTACGCCAGAATTCCACTAGAACCTCCCTACAGCTCGTACAACCTTGTCTTTTAATAAACAATGGGGTGTCTAAAAAGTTTTGAAAATACCAATTTTCAAGAATTTTTTAAGTTTAAATTTATAAAATCAAATGATCTTAATATTTTTTCATAACAAAATTGAATTATTCTTTTTAAATAATATTTTTTTGTACACCCTTTTAAGTTTTTATTGTGTATATATGTTTGAGTAAAGATACATGACATGTATATGAAACTAAAGAATCACTTCCATTTTTCCCATTGTGTTCAACAATGGACCCCTGCAGAGCGCCGGCATCAGATTTTGCAAACTTCTATTTGGAATCTAAATTTTGATCCTCGAAACCACAATTTTATTACAGAACATATCAGGGGTGTACGAAGAATTACCCCCACCCCCTGTGTAGGTGGAAAACTATTTTAATGATCTTTAATTATTTTATTTTTAATGATCTTTAATTATTTAATTTTGATAATACTTCATCCCAAAAAAATCAAGAAAATATTTAGTGTATACTTCTGTTGTAGAATCTTTAATAACACTCGCCTCAAACTCGAATTTTCAATCCCTTTTTTAAGCAACCTAATGGTGTAAACCTATAATATTTCAAACTTTGACTATTTCATCCAAATAGATTCTAGTACAATAGATGGCAACGTAGAATTTGTACACTCGCAATTTTTTTAAATGATATTTCGCTGGCGCTGGATTTTCGAACATTCTTGGAAAATATGAAAATGTCGTTTTCATTATCAAAAATCCTCGAAACAGGAATAAATGTTTTCAATAGGAACTATTAGATCATAAAAAATAAAAAATATTATGAAATATCAACTATATACGAGTGCGTCGACAAAAAATCAATGATTTTTGGTTGTAATATCTGAACGATTTGTTTGGAATTAAATTGATTTTACGGTCCGAGTTGAATGTTGCAACTTTCTGAATTTGTATGGACGCTACATTCTTCTGCATGAGTTGTTTTAAGCAATTTTTTCCTTATAGACCAACAGATATAAGTAAGATTAGTAGCGATCAAAAGCGCTTATTTTTCGCCGTAAGCCTATACCCCCTTTCATTTTCGCGAACACTCCCTTTAATGATGTTTGTGAACAAATCCTTTAATGATATTTGTGAACAAATCCTTTAATGATGTTCGTGAAAAAATTCTTTAATGATGTTTGTGATCAAATCCTTTAAAAATGTTTGTAAAAAAACTCCTTAAATTATGTTTGTGAACAAATCCTTTCATGATGTTTGTGAACAAATCCTTTAATGCAGTTTGTAAACAAATCCTTTAATGCAGTTTGTAAACAAATCTTTTAATGATATTTGGGAACAAATCATTTAATAATGTTTGTAAAAAAATCCTTAAATTATGTTTGTGAACAAATCCTTTCATGAAGTTTGTAAACATAATGATGTTCGTGAAAAAATTCTTTAATGATGTTTGTGAACAAATCCTTTAATAATGTTTGCAAACAAATTCTTTGATAATATTTGTGAACAAACCTTTCATGAAGATTGTAAACAAATCCTTTCATGAAGTTTGTAAACGAATCCTTTAATGAAGTTTGTAAACAAATACTTTCATGAAGTTTGTACACAAATCCTTTAATGAAGTTTGTACACAAATACTTTCATGAAGTTTGTAAACAAATCCTTTCATGAAGTTTATTGTTTAGATAACCCAGACCACCAGAACCGTGAAAGAAGTTCATTATATTGGAATGAAGTTTGTACACAAATCCTTTAATGAAGTTTGTACACAAATACTTTCATGAAGTTTGTAAACAAATCCTTTCATGAAGTTTATTGTTTAGATAACCCAGACCACCAGAACCGTGAAAGAAGTTCATTATATTGGACCAGACGGACAACCCCTTGACTTCATACCAGACGGTCATCTAAACTATACTATACCAGACGGATATATGTATGACGATGGCCAGATGAACTACCAGAATCAGCAGCTGATAAATAACTACCAGAGATACGGAGAGTTTAGGGGGCCGCCTACACCCCCTACTCCTAGTGAGGGTAGTAACTCCCCTCCCCCAGATGGTAGATATAAAGGTAAGGACTAAGGAGCATTTAAAGTGACGTAATTGAAAAATTGTTAATTTTAAGACTGAAAAATTAGGATTTCAATTAAAATTACTGCAACACTTACTCTTGGTTAAAACATATAAATTCCAATATATTTAAAACTGTTTAAATTAGAATCTTAAAAGTAATTTTACAGTCTTATTCAAGAACTTACATAATGTGAATGTTGGGGAAATTTCGATTATATTTGCCAACCGTATTAGACACGTTATTTCTCTTTTTAAAAATATAATGTACACTTCCAGGTTTCCTCTAGGTGTATACCTTAGTTGCTTCTCTTCTTAAAAATATAATGTACACTTCCAGGTTTCCTCTAGGTGTACTGTATACCTTAGTTCCTTCTCTTCTTAAAAATATAATGTACACTTCCAGGTTTCCTCTAGGTGTACTGTATACCTTAGTTCCTTCTCATCTTAAAATCTGTTAAATCATGATGAAATTGCATGATGAACTCTGCTCATTAAATAGCGCCACGCCGCAATCC